ACTATGCTACCAAACGCAATGCATCATCCACGTGCCCCCAGGATGGCTCCTTCCCAGGGCTGCAATGGATAAGCCAAGGAACAAGGGTGCCGAGAACAGACCCAAGACACGCACAACGGGAGGCCTGCACTCTGCACGCCACAGCCACTGCGCTGCGTGGCAGAATTCAACACAGAGCCCAAGAGAAATGCTCCAAAATGAGTCATTACCTGACTTTCAAGTTCCATTCTCCCCTTTCCTTCCCAACAAAGGCACAGTAAGAACAACACAGTACTTGTAGGCTTATCCCCGAGATGGGAATCGAAAATTGCAGAGCTGCCATAGCAAAGCCACTCCATTTGTGGAGCACATGCCATTCTGAACGTAAAAAGCTGACAGCTCCTTAAATGACTGTCATTCTAGTGCAGTCATAGTACAAAGTTTAAAAAGCAAGTCAAATACATACTCCCTCTACTATAAAAAATGGCTTAATTTGAGGGGAGAAAGAATTTCTATGCTATATTCCCACCATGACCAGGAATTTTTTTTTTTCTTTTGCAGAAGGATCTCCAAGCTCTCATTACTGCTGGTCTAAAACATTTATTCCTGCCCACTCAAATCTGCCAAAAGAGAAATGAATCATATGTCAATAAAACTTGGGGTCCTGAACATGTGTTTCAGAATTAATCTTAACTGCGAAATGTGCGAATCTGAGCCCAGCTACAGCAAGGCCTGCCAACTTCATTCATGGTAATTAAGCAAAGCCACACATATTTAAGGGGATATTTAAGGAGTGCAGAGTGTTCCTATGGGGACTGGACTCAAGAGCTACTCCATGAGTAGCTACTGTGCTTTAGAAACACATTAATTACCCTGCAAGAAAAAGCTGCCCAGAACTACCAAGGATAAAGAATCTGGCAACACCTGCGCCGACATTTTCTACAAGGAGTAAGTCCCGCACAGTTGCTGGCTCTGATGATACACCGGAGGGCAGCTCCCCTGTGCCTCTGCTTTGGACTCAGTCCTCCCAAATGCTCAATGCGTGATCCCAACTAAAAAAGCACCAAATTTTGCCTGGAGCTTAGCATCAGTGGCTTTTCACACTGATTTCTCAAGGCTGAGAGGACAGTACACTGCTCACCATACTTGGGTTCTCTGATGACCCCATCCCAACATAAGCAGCACAGCTGCACAGCCTACCTCGTTACACCCAAGGTAAGTTCTCGGGCTGTCAGTTAAGAAGCAACTCCATGAGGTGGTGATGAAGATATTCTGCTGTTAATGACCATGGGCTTTCATCCACTGAGGAGCTGTATGTCCCATCCACAGGCCTAAGAAGCTTATCCTGGTCCAGCTCTCAGTGGAGTCAACAGAGTTGGCTGCAGAAGTGGACCATGCCTCAGCCTGGGAGAAACCCACCCGTCCCTGCCAACACTGCATGCACCAAAAGAATGCCGGCATCCCCCATCTTTTCTAGCAAGATGCATTCATGCTGGCACAGTCCTGTACTGAGGCAGTGCCCCAGCTCTGGGCTTGATGGGACTCAGCATGGTGGTAGGACAGGGACTCAGCACCTGACCTTATCAGCACACTCCATGGAAACGGCCTCCAGGTGGACACAGCAAGTGCAAAACAGATGTTCATCTCAGCCTATACCATTCAGGCCACTTTCTCTGCTTTTCCACAAACTCTGCCCAATCCTACTCCCACCAGTAAGAAAGGAAAACCTTCTCCACAGCTCCTGCCATCTGGAATCACTTTCTTCCATCTCTCTAGCTCATCATGTTTCTGTCTATGCCAGTTTAAAAAAAAAAAAAAAAGTATTTTGTGTCTTTCACCTTTACACATCATGTCTACGCCTGTCCGTTTTTCTCTCCCATCTGTTACTGGTTTTCCAAGCACCTGCTTCAGCATTTGCTCCACCACGATCTTTATCGCTGGCGGGGTGCTGCTGCTGCCAGCCGCTGCTCCACATCAGAGCCCTGGGGCTGCCAACCCAGCCTGGAAAATTTTCATCAACTCATGATCAGAACTGACTCAGGTTCAGTCCAACAGGAAACTAATAAAGGTTGTCTGTCCCTCAACTAATCAAGCAAAAAAGTAGGAAGTATAAAAAAAAGTTGTCAACATGTCAATTCTATCGTTCTACCACAGGCAGAATCTTCCAACCAGCAATCAAAAGAAACCTCACAAATTACCAGCACAAGCATCACTGTTATTGAAAGACATTAAAATGCAGTTTATCAAAGTAATAAGCGTTATTGTTTTACTTCTTCCAGGATTTATTTTAACCCTTTGATCAACACATTTAACTTTAATCACTACTACAAGAAAATACACCTTATTCAATGAACTTTAAAAATCTTATCACTGAGAAAACATGGGAAGATGATAGCAAACACCCTCCTTGGATATCCTAGTACAAGTACTGTTGTTCTCTTTGCAGTTGCAGTCTGTCAGCTGAGGCCCAGCCAAAAAGAACAAGGAAGTATGAAAAGAACAAAACAAGGCACTTCAGTAATCAAGGTGTGAAGGACCTTTTGCTTCAGGTAATTTTTTCCATATGACAGCAAGTAGATAAATGCAAAAGGCTTGTAAGGTTAGGCCTGCCCATCCAAAGGAGTTTGCCCTTTTTTCTCCTTTCTTTTATAAATATCAGTAATGCCAATTTCTGCATAAATAATTTATCTTGAATCCTGGTGAAGCAGACAGCACTGCTGAAAACAGCAGCAGCTTTCAATGAAACTTTGGAGAGGGAGGGAGGAAGGGCTGGCTCCGAGCCTGGCACACGATGGCAGAGATGATCTTGTCTAATCAAGGTCTGGATTAGCTGTGGAATGAATCCATGTTACTAATAAAGAGACACATAATACAGAGAAGTATTTATCATGCAAAAGCCAGGGTGGGAGGGAGAAGCAAGGCTGCACAGTGTGAATCACAGGAGGATAAGGAGATGCAAAGAGGAGAGCTCTGTCCCCAGATCACAAAATCACAGAATGTCAGGGATTAGAAGGGCCCTAGAAAGATCATCCAGTCCAACCCCCCTGCCAGAGCAGGAACACCTAGATGAGATCACACAGGAAGGCATCCAGGCGGGTCTTGAATGTCTCCAGAGAAGGAGACTCCACAACCTCCCTGGGCAGCCTGTTCCAGTGCTCCATCGCCCTCACTGTAAAGAAGTTTCTTCTCAAGTTTAAGCGGAACCTCCTGTGTTCCAGCTCACACCCATTGCCCCTTGTCCTATCATTGGACCTCACTGAGAAGAGCCTGGCTCCATCCTCCTGACATTCACCCTTTACATATTTATAAACACTAATAAGGTCACCAAGATAGATAAGATACACAGTGCAGAGCCCATGATGAACCATGAACACCAAAAAGAAAAAAAACTGTTGCAGGCATTTGTAAATAAACACCTGGGGGAAAGGCCTAGGCAGTGAGGGGGGGCAGGAATATCTGTCCTTGTTCATTTTCCTTATGCACCGTTTCGTAACACAGCTGTCCCCTCAGCCCCGCCGCCGATCTGCCGAGCAAAGCAGATCCCACTGACACAAAGACATGTCCTACATAAAGACACGCTCAGGGACCTCACGATTTTGACTTGTGCACAACTTTCAAAACTTTCCTTTCTGCATGAACAATGCTCAGGTTAATCCCATTAACGCTCCTACTTCTAGTACAGCAAATCTAGTGGGCTCTTGTGCAGCTATCAGGGGTCTTGATCTGCTTCTCCCACACTGCAGAAGGTCTGAGCAAGAGGTAAAAGCACTCCCAGCCCTTCTGCATAGAGAGGGGGGACAAAGCAGAGTCAGGGACCCGGCTCACTTCACACATAGACACTGCTTGGTCGATTTTATTTTACTTCCACAGGTGTCTGACCACTCCAAATCAGACTCTCAGACCCACACCATAAATCAGTGTTGAAGTCAATGATTTACTGTGCCTCGTCTAATACCTCTGGCTACGCCACCTTTTTGTGAACACGTAAAAATCAAAGCAAATGTAAACGTGAACCATCCATGCTCACACAGGGTTTGGATTCAGCAAAGGCTCTAAAACTTAGACACTGCAATCCAGAGCTGGCAAGGAACTGGGAGATACAACCCTGTTAAACCAACCTTGAGTGGCACTCCTCTCCTTAGCACAAATGTTTGAAATGCTGCTCATGCCACACTCTTAGCTTGGCTTTTTACGGGGTCCTGTGCCTCTAGCTACGTGGGTGATATGGCTGGTAGCAAATCTGGCAGCTAACCACCGTTCTTGGTTGCAAAGCCGAGACCTTCCCACTGAACAGCTCTTTTCCTGGCTGTCGAGGAGGTGGCACTGACCAGGGCCCTTTCCTGAGAACAGATGTGGAAGCACACAGACCCTCTGCACCTTTTCCTCCCAACCCCTTGGATGGTTGAATCTACTCCAAAACACATGCTCAAACTTGCATGCATGCAACGTGCCACTTTCATCAGACAAAATCTATGGCAAGTTTATTTCCTTCAGGGACACGATGAAAACAAATCTACCACTACCTTGCAATTTTCTGCTCATACATTACACCGTAAGCCTGTAGAGATTTTGCCTTCTATGCACTTTCTTGAATCAAATTGTTACTGAACTGGTACCAGTGGTTCTCCTCATGTCCCTAAAGCACAGTCATGTTAACAACCAGAGGAGCGACCCAGATGGGACAGTGTCACTGCAGCGTTTGGGGATGGATGCAGGTCACTGCAGTGACTAGAAAGATCTTCCAAAAGGTGCAGACTTCCAAAGCAGTTTTGAGTTGACATGGGATTTTCTGTCATGCCACCTCCTTTCTATATGAAAGGAAACAACTCCTCTACCTCACAGTATTAATTATAAGACCAGTTATAGGCCCAATGTTATTTCAACCCAGCAGACGCTGTACTAATAGGATGACAATGACTAATTAGAAACTGCATTACTTGCCAACAAGCAAAGGAACCGCACAAAAAAAAAAAAAAAAACAGTGAGAAAAACTGTGGCAATAATCTGATAAATTGTGTTACCTGAGAACTAGGCACAAGGGCTTTCCACCAGTGTCCGCCTTTCACAAGGTCTACATCGCTCAAGGGCATTGATACTTTGCCAATAACACAATGGCGTGAGAACTTGTCAAAATCCACTACGGTTAAAAGCAGAGTTCTTCTCTGGGCTTCTAAAAAGGGAATTTCAAATGTGTACCTCTCTTCAAACACCGGGTTCTGCGTTTTGCGTTTCACTCCAGTCTGCTTGGAGTTCTTCTGATCAGGAAGAAGGCAGATCTTCACATAGGGGTTGGAGTGAGCCATGTCTTGCCTTGAACCGTCATAAGAAATTGGAGGAGGCAGATCTTTAGCCTCAATGACTCGCACTATTAGATAATTATGCAACAGGTCGTACTGAGTGCTAAAATGCAGCATGCCCAGCTGATACTTCGATAAGATCTCCTCATCTGTCAAGGAGTCCATATCATCGCTATTCGAGTCAAGAGAGTACAGTCTTGGTTCAAATTTTCTAAAATAGTCATCTGGGGTATAGGTTTTTCGCAGGATAGTTGGCTGAACTATTTCTTTCTTAGCTCCTATTATTCCAAATTCGATAGGTTTAATGTCAATTAACGGAGAACTGGGCCTCCTCGACTCTAAACCTAAACAAGAGAAACACACAAATACAATTGTTAGGAACTCAACTGAAGCCATCACAGGTACCAGTCGACTTGTGTTTCTTTGGGTACAGCTAATTCTGTGTCTGTGCAATGCCCAGCACAGCAGGCTCCCCAGCAGGACTTTTCACCATTACATTGCCAACAATTAATAGCACCCTTAATTACACTGAAGTGCAACCTCAGCTACACTTCTCCCCCTCTGTCTGTTTTCATATGCAATTGCCATGTATATGCTTCAGCAAGAAAACCAGGACTGGCCCCTTCCACCGTGTTCCTGCAGAACAGGATGAGATTTTAATCAATGTACCTTCAACTTGACTTGATTCCCCGTCTAAAAGATGAAAGAGCAAGCACTACAGTTTGATTTTCTTCCCCACAAGAATTACATTAATGTTGGAAGGACGACCTTACTTGAAATCCGCCTCGTGAGGCTGTAAGTGGACCGTGATGCATCTGAAGATGACCGCCTTCTGTCAGGGGAAACATCCTGAAGAGTGGGAGGCAGCTCACTGATTGTATTATCAGAGTCTCCATCTTTGTCCTCATTTTGGCTGCTTATCCTGTTATAACGAGAGACCTTTGGGTGATTCAACCCAGTAAAAGGAGTATATACAGAATAAAAATGCATTCTGGTATTCTGGGTCTGATCTCGGGTGAGCTTTCCTGGATGCTGCAGGGTATCTCCTGATCTATCTGTCAAGCAAAAGGTTGAGCAACTGACTTCAGACTTATGTAAAAAACAGATTCTTTATCTTTCTGCCTGTCTTTCAAACAGAGTTGTATCAGTATTAGAGCACAACACAGGCCACATGGGCACGTGTGACTCAGATCTTGATCAGAACTATTATATTTGTCTTTAAGAAAAAAAGAAAGAATTAAGAAAAACCCACAAGCCACAAAACCCAACCAGTAGTTTATAGCTGTAAATTCACAGCTACACTGTGGAAGCACAGACTTCACTAGGAACAAACCACCATGGGAAACCTCCATGCCTGAACATCACAAACCTACCACACACCCCTCTCAGTAAAATATTGCTTTGCAGGTAGGCCATAAGGTTTCAAAACTCAATCTTATACATACAATTAATTAAGAGCTATTTATTGACACGCCTTTTTAAATAACTGGCTGCATCTTATCCACTTCTATAAACCAGAGGTGATTCTCACCAGACAGTCTTACTGCCCAGGGGTCTCAGTGGGAGCAGGGAAGTTGGCAGGATCCATCTAACAAAGCAAGTTTTGATGAGAGCTGTAGCATCTTTGAGAAGACTCAACAGAAGACTGGCATCATAAAGAAGCCCACATGTAACTCCCATTTCATTCCCATATATATATGTGTGTGTGTGTGTGTGGTGTGCGTGTTGTTTTCATATAAAACAACATTCTGGTTAAAAACCTCAACATGTCACAGCTGCAGTGGCTCACAAAAGCAGTCAGGACCCTTCAGCCTTGACTGGAAGAAGAGGAAGAGCAGACAGTGAGAAGAACTACAGGAGATAAAGTCTCCAACTGCATGTTCAGAGGGGAGTGGCTGCTGATGGAAATGAAATCACACAATGGTTCGTGACACGTAGTGCATCATGAAAATAAGCCTTCTCGTTAATCCATGAGACAGAGTACTGCAAAAAAAATAGCAGCAGATCACAAGGAAAGCATCAGTGTGAAATGAGCAAAGCAAAGGGGAACACTGTGTGAGTTTTGCTCCTGATTCAACCTTTCTACATGCACGACTCAGCTGGGTATAAACGAAATAAGCTGAATCATTAGTAACCAATGACTAGAGCAATAAATACATTCTGCAAAAAGCAGTAAACTCACAGAGAAAGCCCCCCAAATATAAAATAGATTTAAAATGGAAATTCTTATGCAAAGCCACAAAGTTCAAAGCAGGATCCATGCAAACATCACCAATTCAGAGTCACACAACATATCCATATTAAAAAAAAAAAAAAAATCTGTTAATAATCAAAACCAAACCCTATGCTAAAAGGGGTAAATATTATTTGCCCCACTCTGCAGTCCATTAAAGACAGTCCAAATCATGCAGTTTGGCGTATACTCACTACCTGGAACACAAAGAGCTTTTTCATGCCTAAATGCAGGTCTACACAATCATAGGTAGCATTGGATTTACTTGTGTTTGAGAAGCAAATGCACAGAGCAAGGAGAAGGCAGGTTGAAAAGGGACTCAGGAAGAGATGCATTAAAGATGTTCTACAACGGGCAAACGTAATAGCGAGTTAATAACATACAGATGACCTTTAGTAAGGAAATTGCTACTGAGCCACAATAATTTTTCCTCAAATAAACTTGGCTCTGGTTAAAGCAGCTCTGTTTCTGTTTAATCCGAACCTTTGGGAAGAGGAGTCATGTCCTGATTTCAATTCAGTCTCACAGACCATGCACCATTTATCTTTGGTGTTTGTGTAGAATATTCCATAACGGGCAGCTCCAACATACACTCTCACTCCCAGCCCATTTCTGCAAAGACCAGGATGCAAGCACTCCTCATGAAATAACGAGAAGCTATCGTGCATTCGGGTCAATACAAGTGGATTCACTTCAGTAAGAATTTTTTTCCTAAGCTTCCACTGTAAAAAATTCAGAAAGTGAGAAAAATCAACAGTCTCCCAAGAGGAAGGGCTTAAACTTGCAGCTTTAACATCTCCTCCTGAATTTCCAGGACAATGAGGTGTCTCAGAGCTGCCAAAGGGAAAACCTACAGGCAAAAAAATAAAGCATGGATTATTAAGCACAGATGTTCAGATGTTTGCTAGTAGGCCAATGAAGACCATAAAAGCAGTTTTCTCCGGGGGACTGGGTAGGGAGGTAAGAAAGGAGCAAACTGCATTCTGCATTACACCAGCGTCCTGGGCCCATGAAGTGGCAAGATGGAAAGATGTCAGCTGAAAACCTAGATCTATTTTTAAAACACTTTCAGGCTGCAAGCAGGGAATACAAGAAATTGATTTGTTCCTAGATTCAATACACGGATCTAAATGCAGAATATGGTGGTGTCAAATTCATCTTCTATTTTACAAGCTTCCACTGAGTCCAAAAGCCCCCATTTCAAAAAAAGAAAAAAAAAAAAAAAGACAAGGGGTCAACTGGCATACACAGATCTCTGAGCACTTAAAAACATACCCATTAAGTACCTTATTCTGAGACCAACTCCAAACTGTAACTCTGCTCACACATCTAACTCCAGACATTGCTTCCTACCTCCAAAAACACATACGGAGATTTAAGAGTACAAGATCAACACAGTGAAAATAGAAATCCTCTTCAGCTTCTGAATTCTGAGCCAGCAGAGGCTGTGTGGGATCGTTTCCACCTTAAACCTGCACACACTAAAAGCGTGGCCCTCCTGTCAGCAAACAAAATACACCGTTTCTGTCTCCTGCCTTTTACTCTCCTTTCTTCTTCATCTTCCAGACTCTTGTTCCTCTACAAGCTCATTTTCTCTCCCTCTCCTCTCAATCACATCCCCTCGGCTCCTTCCCCTCTCCACACCTCCTCTGCTGTCTTTGCTCTTCTCACTTGACTCATTTCTGGGTTCCCTCACTGTTTTCCAACAAAGTCACCCTGGAAGTCTGAAGCATCACCATCTTCCCTGGCACCACCCTGAGTCCATCTCAGCTCAAGAAGAGGAGCCAACAGCCTTTTCAAGCAAGCAAAGCCTGGTCACCAGCTGCTATATCTACGTGTGTTAAAAGGCACCCTTAGAGATCACAGGATGTGCAACAGTGACAGAGAAGATAGTGACTTCAGTGATCCAAAGGCATGGCAGCATCCATGCCTCTTCGAAAAGCAAAGCTGCTTCTCGTGTGTCCTCTTCCTTGGTTCCTGCTGCCCCTCTCAAGCATTACCTCTGGGAAGTCACCTTCTCTCAGCACTAGAGTAGAACAGGGAGACTCTAACTGCACCAGATCACCTGAAGCTGAAAGGAACAACGGATATGTGACCTAGGCTGGGGACCCTACCCAGAGCTGCTAGCATGATTTAGGTGCAGCATAAAGTGCAAAAAGGTTGAAGAACTGGACTTGGGTTTGGGGTTCTTTTGCTTTTTTTTTTTTTTCTCCCCAAAGTGCATTGTCTTCTGCTTATGGCCATTCCAATAAGTTAATTGTAGAGGCTTTCAGATGGAGCAGAATTGGGGGAAAACAATACAGGCTGGAAAGAGCATTTTATGAGTCCAAAGGTCTCCATGTTGTCTGCCTGTGGCAAAGTCCAGCTCATCTGCAAAGTCACCACACATCAGAGTTTTGATTTTAGAAGAACAGACCTTCAATGCTTACAATGCCCCTTTAGTCAGACAGAAGGATCCAGAAGTCAAAAACTACATCATAGGACAATCACCCGACATCCCCAAACACACATGATGTCCCTTCTGCTCCTCAGCACACCAGAGGAACTCTGAAGCACCCTCTCATGACAAGCCTAGCTGCTTATTCCCAAGTATGTAATTGTTCCTGCAGCAATCTTTCTACATCCAATACTGCAACCTCATCAGTGTGTTCTCCTGTGCGCAATGCTTTCCTATTTAGCATTGATTTTGTTTCCATTTCCCATTAATTGCAGATGAATGCATTTCTGGGCATATATCAGACTCTTAAATATGCTGCTTCACATTTAAAAAACACTCTAACACATCTTGAATATTTCTATTTTTATTGCTTCAGTATTAATTACCATCCCACTCTACCTGGATTCAAAAGAGTATATCGGCAAGACTGTGATTTAAACATGAGACAATTTATTTCACGCAGCACCAAGACACGGACCTTCCAGACCTGACATGGAACAGCAGGTACCCACGGCAGGAGCAGATAAAATTAACTGAGTGTCTCAGTGTGTAGGTACAAACTTCTGAGCCTTATATGATGCACTACATAGGCATCTCCTGTGCCACAGCTTCTGGATGCACTGAAGCTGTCTGCATCAAATGATCTGCTCTCACAGAAGTCAGCCCAGCCAGCAGAGCAGCCACTAAAAGACAGGAGACCTCTGCGCCCTTGGTTTCATTAATGCCTTCACAGGGTCACCTCTGTGCTGCAGCTTCCCGAACAAGAGGGAGTAAAACAGGGAAGACTTCACTGACTTTCTTTGTAATAGATTTGCAAATAGGTTAATCAAAGCCCCAGATAAAACCTGGCGCTGCCGCAGTTGTTCTTTAATGATTCAAGAGGAAATCTTAAAGAGTACTAAGATGACGCAGGAGATCAAGTCTTGATAAATGAAACTTAAATTAATTTCCCCTTTAGAGCACGTACAAGGTACACCTTTCATCTGCCTATATGATAACCACCTTCACGCTAGGATAAGAAAATATTTCAAAACAATCTCATCAGCATTTCAGCTAAGTTGAAGTGCTCCAAAGGGCTGGTCCATTTGAAGAGGAAATAGGACTGAAGATGAAAGAAAAAGGTGCACAGCTAAACCAGTTATCAGCTGGCTATGCTAGCGTACAAAATAACTTGCCTTACCCATCAGAAAAGTGTTTTTACGAAGACCAACCTTACTATTTGAGCTAACAGGGCTGCCCTTTTCCACCTTGCTGTTGAGCAGCCTACGTTCCCACCATCAGCAGGAGGTTCCTCCTTTCTATGTGGCATCCTCCGAATTGTCCTATCGCCATTTCGTATCAATACTCTCATCACAGCTGAGCAGCCCTACTCCTCAGTTAAAGCTAGGAAATTGTGCATCTAAACTTACAGCCAGGCTGGAGTTTGAGCAGGAAAAGGTCCCAGGATTTCAACTTCATCTTCGTTTGTTTGACAACAGCTACAGTCGAAACACTTCTGACAACAATTTCTACAAGTCCACCGGCACAGCAAGAGATCCGAGATTCTAGCGAGCAGACCCTGAAGCCATTGGAAACCAAAGTACAAGATTACAACCCATCAATAGCTATTGAGAAATAACATTCAGCTGTATTTACGTTTGTGTTTTTGCAACAGAACATTAAGAACTATATTTACTCCATCTATATCAAGAGACAAGTGCTATGCAGTTACCAGCCCAACTTCCCTGATACCATAACAAGGCAGGAAAATAAGCATTCACCGCAGGTATTTTCCCTCTAGTAGTGATGTATTATTATGTAGGTTGGCAAGAGGGTGATTTACAAAACACTATGGCATAGCAATATGCTAGAGTGGAAACATGCTTATTCTTTCACGCACATCAACAAACTAATAGATCGGCAAGTGTACAACAGAAGGAATTAAAAACAGAAGGTAAGCGAAAGTTCCAATTTAATCCAGCAAGGGTCTATTTAATTAGCACAGCAACATGAACACATTTCATCCCTGTAGATGTATCAGTACGTAGTGTTTGTATGATCCACACACATACAGCATTACAGCCCAACAGACTTGCTGCTAAAATGGATTAGCAAAAGCAGACTGTCCACATGCCTCCCCTCTGCTGTCATGATTAATTTAATGAAGAACCTTAAAAAATATATATATTTTTTTTTAAAGAAGTTACTTGACCCAGAAAAGCACTTTATTTCTTAGGTTTCCGTAATGGCACTGGCAGCACCACCTGTAACAGTGCTCCTCTGTTGTTACAACCACAGGGTGTGAGCATCCCATCGGAGGGGTAACAGGCTGCTGCCCCATTTCCATGCCATCCCGACAGCCTGTCCTCCAAGTCAAAGCTCTGCTTGCTTCAAGAGGAGTAAAATGCCAAACCTTAGCCCATTTCCCACCCACGCCAGCTCCAAAAGCAGTGTGGTCCATAAGAAGGTTCATTAAGCAGCACAAGGGCACTGCTAATAAAGGGCATTGCTCTGTAGTCACAGGGGGAGACACACAGCTGCAAGAACACAGCACGTGCACATCCAGGGTTGAACTGCTTTACGAGTGTATGTGACCTTGAAATGTTCCTCAGAAGCTGAAGAAAAAGCACGTGAGATTTTCTCCATAGATATCCCCCCAAAATACTTGAGACGTACACAGTATTCACGAGTGTACAGATACAAGAGCACTATCGCACCACACAAAGGGGTTTCCTCTGAGGAACATGGATCTGCAAAGAAGATTCCCAGGAACATTTCTTTTTGCTCCAATAAAACACACATTTTTCCATAAACAAAAATCTGAACATTGCAAAAAATATATATTACCAGCCCAAAATATGGTGCATTACTTATATCTAGGACATCAGTAAAGAGTCAGAAAATAAGAGACAATCCCCTCAGGATGGAGTGAGGAGATAGAGCAGAGAGTGAATCATCAGATTAACTCACCTCATTTATTGGTTCCAACTGTCCTTTTAGACATCCAGGATGAAGCAAAGGGGAACAAAATGAAAAAGACAAAAACAGGTTAGCAATGCTCAAATAACTTTAAATTTTCTGCCGTGACATGCCCCAGCCTGGGATGAGTTTGAACTTCCAGCAAGACAGTACCTTGTAGATGTTAGAGGAAGGAGAGGTCTCCTGACCAGGCATCAGCTTCTGCTGCTTCCAGTCCTTCCCCACCAAGCTCCCTCTGTTCCTCCTTCCCCAGGAGAGAAATTCCCAAATCCATCCTGGAGCATGAAAATCCTGCTCATTGCCTCTTCCTAACAGGGTATCATATGCAACCACTTATTTTCTTTAATAACCTATCTCTAATTGCAGCAGCTACCTGCTGCTGACAGCAATTCATATCTGAATTTTCTAGTTAGATGCCACAATGGAAAAAAAGGCTTTTCTCCAGATCCAGCCTATATAAATGTAGTTTCAATGCCAACTCGTTAAAAGCAACACTTCTAGGAAGGGGCACAGACTGAGAATACTCTCCATTATGTACACACCACTTGAGGTAGCTGGGCATCTTCAGTCTCATCCTCAGATGTGACTTGAAGAATACAAAATCCAGAAGTTGAGTGCTTAAAACTTGAGTCACACACTCCAATTTGAAAACCTGCACTGCAGCCACTTCCCCCAACTCACAGAGAAAATCTACAGCAAAGGAAGAAATCATCGCAAACCAGTGTTTTGTTCACAAAGCCACACTTGGAATATTATACTTGTCTGAGTTCATTTATAACTGGAGACTTTGTAGCATTTCAGATGCCTGCTGAAACACCTTTCCTATTGCTTTCCCTTGATAATGTTTCAGAGTTTCCTAATCTCCTGGCTGTCTTTCTCCAGGGGGAATCCTCCCCCCAGAAAAAAAAAAACAAAAACAAACAAAACCCGACCAAACCAATACAAAAATCACAAAACAAACAAAAAAACCACCACAGAAAGAAAACTCCACTCTGCTCTTCCACATGTAGAAACTGGTTTCTAGCTCTATGTTCATGACAGAGACAAGAACAGCCTTCTATAAAGAAGCTGGGACAAAGAAGTTGCCTTCAGTTCCAAGAACTCTCCCATGAACCAGGTTTTGGTGCAAGCCTCCCTTTTAAACTTCTCGGAAACCAGTGTTTGGTGAAAAGGCCATCACTTGTTAGAAGCTCAGATTAAGAGACTGGAAATGCCGCAGTGCAATGTGACAAGACAGGGATTACCAGACAGCCACGGACCAACTGTTTAAGACAATTGTAAACGGTTTACAGGGCTTTATCATTCCTTTATAATGCAAAGTTGCAGCCAAAGCTATAGTGGTTTAGCAAAGCTGCAATGAGAATATTTAAACTGCTCTAAAATGAAGTGGCTGGATCGGTGCCACACGATGGAACGCCGTAGCACGTGCTGTGCGAAGGAAGTGGCATTTCCGAACGGCCCGCAGGGACACGGTAGGCTTGTGTCAAACAGCCCTCCTGGTCACCATCAGCCACCGGCCATGTGGAACCACGCCTGCGTGCCACCGGCCCCAAGGACACACGCAGCCGTCCCACAGGCCCCGTAATGAAGTGAGTCCCTGACCACCCACAAATCTCTGCCAGGAAATGGGACTATGGAAATACGAACTAAATATTACAGCGCAGAAGAGGTAAACAAGGAACCAGCGCCATACAGGGCTCAAATGCAGGGGCCCATGAAAGGAGAGCAAACACAACCGGCTGTGTTCATCCACCTCGCTCACACCCGGCAGAGGGTCGGGGCTGGGGAAGGGCACAGGTTTGGGGAAGGACACACCAGCTAGCAGGTGCTCGGGGATCCCGGAGAGCAAAGCTGCTGTGATGTACTCAGCACCCCCAGGAGAAGGCTCAGCCCCCGGGGTTGGGGAGGCCCCATCATGCCCTGCCGTGTTGTCCTCCCAGGCTGGCCCAGCAGAGAACAACCCAGCTGGGAGCCTCTGGCCAGGAATCAGCCCTCCTTGAGGGCCAACGATGGCTGCCCCGGGTGCGTCCCCTCGCCCAGGGCTTGGTGCAGGGCAGGGCTGCGTCTCCACTCCACGCCTGGCTGCAGGGCCCAGTGCCCCCACCACGGCCGGGGTCACCTGCTCCGAGTCAGCAAAGCCACCGATCACAACCACCTCAACAGAGCAGCTACAACAGCCTGTCATGGTGGTGTCCCCAGGGACGCTGCAGCAGGGTGGGGTCCTCACTGGGGACAGACCATGTTCTGCCCCCACAGCTGCCCCCCCAGGGACGGCTCACAAGCGCCACCACAGGGGACACCACAGCCAAGGGACAATGTGACC